AAAGATACTCTGCGCTCCTGCTGCAAATTTGGCGGAAAATGTGAGCCTGTCACACGATTATCTCTCCATGTTTCTATAATCATGATACAAAATGTTTATTCATCGATAATGACAATATCGGACCAGAATTCTTTATAAAATCATAGAATCAAACAGGTTGCTCCTGCTACATAATTGGCAGGATACTCAAACCTACACGCAATTACCTCTCGATGCTTCTGTAATCCTGATACCGAATCTTTATTAATCGATTATCATACATCAGTCAAAAGTTCATTGCAAAATCGCCAAATTGAATGGATGAACATTTGTTATAGGGATCCCAAAAACGCAAGGAGGTATAGAAAAGAATCTCTCGGTTCCTGCTTCAAAATCGACGGAAAATATAAGCCTGTCACACGATTACCTCTCGGTGCCTCTATAATTCTGAATATAATTTTTTATTCATCGATTATTACAAATCCGACAGAGTTCCTTGCAAACTCGCCAAAATGGATAAAAAAGCGTTATCAGGATCACAGAATCGCGGGGAGGTATAGAAAAGATAATCTGCGCTCCTGCTGCAAATTTGGCGGAAAACGTGAGCCTGTCACACGATTATCTCTCCATATTTCTATAATCATGATACAAACAGTTTGTTCATCGATAATGACAACATCGGACCAGAATTCTTCACAAAATCATAGAATCAAACAGGTTGCTCCTGCTACATAATTGGCAGGATATTCAAACCTATACGCAATTACCTCTCGATGCTTCTGTAATCCAGATACCGAATCTTTATTAATCGATTATCATACATCAGTCAAGAGTTCATTGCAAAATCGCCAAATTGAATGGATGAAAATTTGTTATAGGGATCTCAAAAACGCAAGGAGGTATAGAAAAGAATCTCTCGCTTCCTGCTTCAAAATCGACGGAAAATATAAGCCATTCACACGGTTACCTCTCGATGCTTCTGTAATCCTGATAGCGAATTTATATTAATCGATTATCATACATCAGTCAAGAGTTCCTTGCAAAATCGTAAAATTGAACGGATGAAAATTTGTTATTGGGATCCCAGAAACGCAAGAAGATATAGAAAAGAAGCTCTCTGGTTCCTGCTTCAAAATCGACAGAAAATATAAGCCTGTCACACGATTACCACTCGGTGCTTCTGTAATTCCTATATAGAATTTTTTATTCATCAATTATTACATATTCGACAGATTTCTTTGCGAAATCGCCTAAATGGATAAAACCATATCAGGATCACATAAACGCGAGTAGGTATGGATTACCACACATCGGCCAAGAGTTCCTTGCAAAGTCGACGAACTGAGTTGATAAAATTTTGTTGTCGGGATCACAGAAACGCAAGGAGGCATGGAAAAATGTTTTGCTACAAAATTCATGGAAAATAGAAGCATGTTCACACGGTTACCTCTCGATCCGGATACCAAATTTTTATTAAGCGATTATCACACATCAGCCAAAAGTTCCTTGGAAAATCGCCAAATTGAATTGATAAAAATTAGTTATCAGGATCAAAGAAACACGAGGAGTTATGAAAAAGATATTCTGCTCCTGCTACCAAATTGACGGAATATCTCAGCCTGTCACACAGGATCACATAAACGCGAGTAGGTATGGAAAAGATACTCTCTGCTCCTGCTACATAATTGGCAGAATTTTCAAACCGACACGCGGTTATCTCTCGATGCTTCTGTAATCCTGATACCGAATTTTTATTCACCGATTACCACACATCAGCCAAGAGTTCCCTGCAAAATCGCCGAAGTGAATTGATGAAAATTTGTTATCGGGATCATGGAAGCGCGAGGAGGTATGAAAACATATTCTGCACCTGATACAAAATTGGCGGAAAATCTCAGCCTGTCGCACGGTCATGTCTCGATGCTGTAATCACGCCGAATTTGCATTCATCAATATTGTACCCCTCATCGGCCAAGAGTTAATTGGAAAATCGCCTAATTGAATGGATGAAATCAGTTCACAAAAACTCAAGGAGGTATGGAAAAGATTCAAAATTGACGTTAAAGCCAAACCTGTCACAGGATTACCTCTCGATGCTCTGTGATCCTCATACAAAATGTGTATTTCATCATTATCATGCATCTGACTAGAATTCTTTGCAAAATCATTAAATCCAATTGGAGGGAAATTCAGACGCCTTACACGATTAACTCTCGAAACTTCTGTAATCGGAATGCTAACCTCTTATCCATCGTTTATCACACGCATTCCTATCAAAATCGAGAAATTGAATGGATGAAAAATTATCAGGATCGCAGAAACACAACGTGCGCCGTTTTGTCTTTTACTATTTTAAAAGGGGTGTCTGTCCTCTAGTGATAAAAGATTTAACTACCTTCCAAGAGCATATAGAATCCTTACAACTGTCCAGTATTCAACGCTTACTACACTGAATAACCGACAGATGGCGCAGTACTAGTTGCTTTGCTAGTGGCCTCTATTCAACGAAAGCTCAACTAGCTTACCTCACAATATACATAAGTGAGTTCTTACAGTTTCCTTTATAATTAAAATTGTTTACAATGTCAAGGTTCACGAACAGATGGCACGTAGTAAAGAAATTTAAAATTGGGTATTTGAGGATTACTGAATCCAAATTCACGATGAGATGTAAATAATAACAGTTAGCGCGTGATCTCTCGGTAGCAGGTGGGGACAACGCCTCTTATTGGTCAATTTGCCATTAAATTTCAAGCGGTCGCCTGGCGACTATTCATAAACTTTTGAAGCATCTTAATTTCGAATGGAAAAAAACGAGGTCGTAACAGCTTACTTATGGATAGAGAAGAAATTGTTCTGTGGAGGAGAGAGTACCTGACCAAAATTAAATCATTCAGGGATCAGCACAGGAAGATCTATTACCTGGACGAAACCTGGATTAACGCTGGGCACACTACTCCGAAGGTATGGGTTGACAAAACTGTGACTCCATCCAGAAGGGCATTTCTAGATGGACTGTCGACCGGATTGAAAAATCCAGCAGGTAAATAGATCGAAGTAGTTCACGGTATCAATTTTTGCGCACATCTCTCTATCTTCGTACCTACAAGACGTGCATGTGTACTTAGTGGATTTTATCTTTCTAGGCAAAGGAAAAAGGCTCATTCTTTGCCACATTGAGGGTGTAGATGGCTTCGTGGATGACGGCTTATGGTCTTTTGAGTCAAAAAAAAACCACTGACTACCATGAAGAGATGAATGGGGAAGCATTCGAGAAGTGGTTTTCAGGCATTTTACCACGTCTCGAAGACAATTCTGTGGTTGTTTTGGATAATGTTCCCTATTATTCTCGTAAAATAGAAAAAATCCCAACTTCAGCTTCTAGGAAATCAGACATTCAGAGCTCCATTCCAAAAATATAACTTTCGACCCTTTTACTGAAATTACAACTATTAGATATTGTGAAACAATACAGACCAAAACATGATAATATGTCATAGATGAAATGGCCAAAGCACCACAAAACAGTACTCCGTTTGCCGCCTTACCACTGTGAGCTGAACCCCATTGAAATCATATGGGCAGATGTTAAGAATTTTGTTGCTGCACACAATACAACATAAATTTTCTGACATGCAAGAGCTGTTCAGAATTGGTATACAGAGGGTCACGCCAGAAAGATGGGAAAAATGTGTGCAGCACGTTCAGGAGAAAGTGGAGGCAGCAATGTGGGAGCTGGACAACATAATTGAGAGAGATTTTGAATCCATCATCATAAAAATTAATGACGATAGCTCTTCAAGTGAGTCTGAGTAAGTTTCGCGTTTTTGTTTTGTCACAGAATACATATTATGGGAATCCTAGTTATAGTGAAATATTAACTTACAGATAAACTACAGACAATGCAAGTCCGAAGTGCACCTTCAAAATCTATTTTCAATTGATTGAATAGCCTTATATTTATTCCATGTACAAAAGTGTCATCCTACCCCTCGTTGACTACAGATTCATTGTGCATAGTGAGCAGCTGGTTACCTCTGGTATCTATTTCTCCATGTTGTCTAGTTTGAAAAATCTGTAGAAAAACTTAGCACCCCTTCAAGAATAAAAATTTGATTTGCAACAACCTTAACTATAACTACTTCACTATATTGGATAATTTCGTTAAGCACTGTCATCTTTGTTTTACAACACGTTGGTGGTAGTCCATCATTAGTTGGTAGCCCTGAATGCGGCCCTGTACGCCGTCCTTGCTTTTGGCAATCACGCATCCATTCTATCTTGGGTGTAAATACACTTTCCTGTCATGTGGGGAATCCCCGAGATCCAGGATCAAGGACTTTTGAGGGGAAAGTGTTAGAAGTGGGGGAAGTAAGAATAATGGTGCACTTATAGGCGTTCTGAGGCATTTATCTCAATCTCAAGGGAGGACGAGTAGGACGACCATTGACAAGAGATAACTTCTTGTGGGCGTGTATCTTACCCAAAACCATTTGAACAGCGGGGACGGTAGCGAATTTTCTAAGGTGACCAAATCCTAATATTTCCCAATTCATGCTAAATATATTTTTGATAAATATTTATGTATGGAATGCATTGATCAATGTCTCAAAGCTTTGGGCGCATCCAGCCAAGGTAAAGCAGCCCCAGCGCTTTTATGCTGTACAGCAGTAGCCATGGAATAGCTTCAAGTTTGCAATATTTAATTACTATCAAATCTGACAGCGAAGTGGAAACTACTGTCACATTGACAAAGCTACTGCTATTCAGGATAAAAACACGACACTACTACAGAGGCTGACCTCTGCCATTGTCTGGGGCCTCTACATAGTGGGTTCCTATGCGCCAAGATATTTTATTATAAATAGCTCGGCTCAACAAAATACTAAAAAGGCAAATATTTTACAAAGAACGGAGGAATATATACCATGCCTCAAACATTTTCTCCTGAATCAGCAAACCTAAATGAAACACATATTATTCAGCAAAAATATAATAGCACAACAATATAAACTAATGTGTTAGATATGCATTCTGCAGTTAGGACATGTATTGTTACTAGTCAACCATCCATTAATGCAACGTTCATGAAACTGATGTCTACATTTCAGTTGCTTGATTGATCTGCCTTTAAGATTCGTTAAGCAAATAGTGCATTTCCCAGGTCTCCTTCGTAGATCATCATCATCTTCACTGTCTTCTAGAGATCTGACACTACTTATGCTGCTTCCACAATATCGAGTATTATAATCATCATAGCTATAACCGTTATGCCTCCCTCTGTTATTTTGCTCTCTATTCGAGTTCCAAAAAGTATAAGCAATTGTGCCTGCAGCTACAAGCAACATAACACCGAAGGCTAGAGGATGAAATTGGAAACCCATGTTTTCTTCTGTAAAACTGATTGTAATCACCAATTGCTTTTATGTGTTCTGGAGGATTTCAAGTATCCTCATCAGCTTCTCAGCATAACTTGGTTTTTCACTTTGAGTTTCTAGGGCACCGTGTTTACTCACATTTCACTGCAACATTTTGATGTTGAAATGTCGAAATTCTCTAGAGCTCCTTCACAAAACGTCATATGCGTCGATCGTTTATGAAAAATGCCTTCAAAACAACGATGCTTATATAAGGACAAACAATGAAACTTCAAAAGACGCTTTGGCTTGGCTTGGCGTTTGACAGGGACGAATGGACGATGGTTGTTTTATTTGAAAACATCTTATTTTCTGCTTGTTTACAGTTTTTTTTCTTTCAAAGCATTATATTTTCTGCTTAAGATAACTGTCAGCAGATGGCGCTATAGCAAAAGCGCCATCTCTTAGCTAAAGCTGAAACAAAATAGTTGACGCTTACGAGTTATCAAGAAAACTATACGAATTGTCAGCGATGCTGATGACTTGGAAAAAGATGGCACGTCCAGCATAATAGTACGGTCATTTTATGCAAAAATATTTAGCATTTTCTTCACTTGTATAACAAAAATATAATAGTAATAAAGTTGAAATTCAATGTACAGGAAAACGTATGGTATCAAAATGTTAAGCATTTTCATATTGTACTCAATCATTCATTAATCATTCTGTCCATTAGATAAACTATCTGCTGTCCTCAGGAACATCGCATAGGATACAATTCCCCTAACTACCTGAAAAATACAATTCAATAAAACCCTACATATTTTGGGTGATACAAGAACAGCCTTTAACATATAGAACACTAAAACTTAATGATACAACTTCCAGTAAAAAATGCCGTACTGTAATGTACATTATTGACGTTATCTCATGCAGTAAGCTTCAAAATAGTTCGATTTTTGTTAAAAAAATCTTCGTTCATCTCAAAAGCTCCAATTTACTAAAAAGAAGTCGCATACAAATTTTTCGTACAAAATAATTAGAAAACATCTACGTTCCATTACCTTTCAAATGAGGTATAAAAGTCACAAATCGATTAAGAATTGGCAAAAATATGACTATTATAAGAGGAGGCAGGAAAAAGCAATAAAAATACGACACTTACAAAATCTTACCTTAATACAGGATAATTTGTTTGAAACTACATTTTTTTATTTTTATAATACATTTTCAATATGGCGCCCTCTATTTCTAATGCACACACGTGCTCTTCTTATGACAGCTGATTTTACTACCGCCGAATTCCTAAGAGAGGCTTGAATTTCTTGTGCTGCATGTATTATCCTGTTTCTGGGGTCTTCTATTGTGGGTACAGGATTTTGATCAGAGTATACTAAAGTTTTCATGCGACCCCACACAAAAAAGTCCATAGGTGTGAGATCGGGACTGCGTGCTGGCCATGGGATTGGTCCGCCTCTACCGATCCATCGATTCGGAAACTGCTCATTTAACCAATTTCTAACACTTCTGTCTGTGTCTTGTGTGTAGCGGCACGTCTTCAAGTAATTCAAATAGAACAATTCTTAAGAAATTTTCGTAGGCTTCTCCATTTAAGTTGTCTGGTAGGAAATGTGGTCCTACCAAACAGTTATTTATAATGCCCATCCAGACATTAAGACAAAATCGCCTTTGAGATCCTTTTGGTCTCTTCATATGAGGATTTCCTACTGCACGTTCACGCCAATAGTGAGCGTTATGGTAGTTTGTTATGCCGTCTTTATCAAATTTTGATTCGTCGGTCCATAGAATTTTTCTTAAATAATTGCTATCTTCAACATCAGCGTTTAAATAAAACGACAAAATTGCATGCGCCTCATGGGATGTGTATAGTGGTAAGGGTGGAATATGTTTTCATGCAAAACATTCCACACTTGCCTTTGGGATAATCCAAGTCGTCGAGCCACAGCGCGAGTAGAGAGAGTAGGGTCTCTTTCGAAAATATTTAATATTTCGTCTTCTTCTACATCATGTCGAGGTCTACCTGCATCACCTGAAATAAAATGAAAAAAATAACAGTTTTTTGGAGGAAATTGTTACCTAATAAACATAGCGGTAAGACTACGAGCTAGAGTTGGCAAAATATTATTTAGAAAAAAACGATACACAACGTGTGGATGTTTCCATCTTCAGAGCCGTGTAGATGCTCGTGTTAAGTTAAATGAATAAACTCTTAATTAAGAAGTATCAAAATAACTATGTTACAGTATCGTCAGTTCAGCCCACAGACCTCCAAGGCTCTACATAGGCCTTACTGAACGACTGATTATGATAAGTTAATAATTATCAATGATGCAAACTTACCTTGATATCTTACGACGGTATCGCGCTCTCGAACCCGACGGAACGTTTGCCTAAATACGCGAGCGTCAGGTAGGCGATGATTAGGAAACATTTCCTTATACTCACGACGAGCTTCTTCAGCATTGCCTCTGGCATCTGCGTAGTAGAAGAGGATATCGGCATATTCTTCGAAACTGAACGGCCGCCTCCTTTGTTCATTATCCATTGTTCATCGATAGGTCGATCAACGAACAATCAAGTCACACAGCAGAAAAGTCGTAAGGAATCACAGAAAACAGGGTACAGTCTCGGTCGTCAGGAAAAGAATCACACACGGAAGTCCAACAAGAGCCCAGTCGTTAGAAATATCAAAACAGCGAGCAAACAAACACATCCGAACGCAACAAATCGCAAGAGCACATTGAAGTGGGGTAGGAAGGGGGGTGACTAGTCTTACTTATCACACTATTCCGGTGGCAAAGTCTGTTCGAGGCTCTACCTGTTTCTTTCACTCATATCTTTGTCATTTCTAAACCGGTTTGTGACTTTGATACCTCATTTGAAAGGTAATTAAACGTAGACATTTTAAAATTGTTTTTCACGAAAAATTGTAGGTGATTGTTTCTAGTAAATTGAGTTTTTAAGATGAACGAATATTTTTTTTTATCAAAAATTGAACTATTTTGAAGCTTACTGCATGAGATAACATCAATAATGTACATTTGAGTATCAATTTTCGTATTTTAGAATATTTTTATTGTAAAACAAAAAAAAAACAAATGAAACACCCAATTTTCAAGTTTTATGACTTTGTTAACGTTAATTTTATAAAATCTTAAAAATTAGTATGATTCGAAAACGGCTAATTTTCGGACAGTAGTTCCTATAGTAAAATCGACTCAGATTGGCTTGTACTATCTCCTCCCACCGGCTCCGCATCTATTTTCCCGTCACCCCGTATAAAAAACGTTATACCATCATTGTTACAAAAATTGTAAATTTTCTAAATTAAATGAAATATGAGCCATCAGTGATAAAAAAGGAAATCTCAGGCAGTCCGAGAGCTGACAACGCTGACATTTAAAGATAGTCGATCGATGACATGTCCTTTAGACGAATAATAGACATCGTAGGTGGATTATTGGCTGTTTTTTTCTTTTGATAGATGCCATTAAAATCAATTATGTTGCAGTTCTGTTCTCTATTTGTCTGTTCTGTTGCAGATAATAATATCTGTAATTTGTTTCAGATACTGCGTTTCCGCGGACGACAACGCAGATCTGAACGACCAAATAGCAGAAGAATTGCGTGAAGAATTAGAAAAACGACGATTGAAGAACGCAGACGGCTCCAGCTGCGACATGGACGAAGACTTCGATAACTCCATGCCCGCCACTGTCGATGACAAAGACAAACTCGAAGACCGATTGGCTGCTGAAAAGAAGGAAGACCCTGAAGAATCGGCAAAGTCGGATGTGCGGACGGCAACGCCGAACGAACAAAGTTTGGAAAGTGAGGTTAGGACTGTGGCGTCAGACGCAAGGGGATCTCTGTGAAGGATAATACTTGAAGCAAGAATGAAAGGGGATTGTACATATTTATGCATTGATTTTTTTTGAGTTTGTTACTGGCTTTTTGTATATATGTACATGCATTAAAGTATTATTTTTTCTTTTTTAAGGCGAGTTTTATTTTCCATGCGCACGCATTGGAGTTACCAAAAATAAATGGCATATCGTAAAAATCAGGCGCGAACGTGACAGTTGAGTAACAGCAAATTGTTTCTCATAATTTGGAAATTGCTAATCATCAATCAATTTTACAAAATATATCTGTCCGATATGACACTGAATGCTGGCATTCCAATTCTATCACCACTATAATCCGTGATTATAGAATGTTTTTAGCAAAATCGTCAAATTGAGTGAAGGAAAAACTGCCAGGATATCAGAACCGCGAGGAGGTATGGAAAAAGTGTTTTGGCGGGAAATCCAGACCTCGCACGATTACCTCTCGGTATTTCTATAATTCTGAATATAATTTTTTATTCATCGATTATCACAAAACCCGACAGAGTTCCTTGCAAACTCGCCAAATGGATAAAAAAGCGTTATCAGAATCGCGGGGAGGTATAGAAAAGATACTCTGCGCTCCTGCTGCAAATTTGGCGGAAAACGTGAGCCTGTCACACGATTATCTCTCCATATTTCTATAATCATGATACAAACTGTTTATTCATCCATAATAACAACATTGGACCAGAATTCTTTGCAAACTCATAGAATCAAACAGGTTGTTCCTGCTACATAATTGGTAGGATATTCAAAGCTACACGCAATTACCTCACGATGCTTCTGTAATCCAGATACCGAATTTTTATTAATCGATTATCATACATCAGTGAAGAGTTCATTGCAAAATCGCCAAATTGAATGGATGAAAATTTGTTATAGGGATCCCAAAAACGCAAGGAGGTATAGAAAGAATCTCTCGGTTCCTGCTTCAAAATCGACGGAAAATATAAGCCTGTCACACGATTACCTCTCGGTGCTTCTATAATTCTTATATAGAATTTTTTGTTCATCAATTATCACCTATCCGACAGAGTTCCTTGCGAACACGCCTAATTGGATAAAAAAAGCGTTATCAGGATCACACAATCGCGGGGAGGTATAGAAAAGACACTCTGCGCTCCTGCTGCAAATTTGGCGGAAAACGTGAGCCTGTCACACGATTATCTCTCCATATTTCTATAATCATGATACAAACTGTTTATTCATCGATAATAACAACATCGGACCAGAATTCTTTGCAAAATCATAGAATCAAACAGGTTGCTCCTGTTACATAGTTGGCAGGATATTCAAACCTACACGCAATTACCTCTCGATGCTTCTGTAATCCTGATACCGAATCTTTATTAATCGATTATCATACATCAGTCAGGAGTTCATTGCAAAATCGCCAATTGAATGGATGAAAATTTGTTATAGGGATCCCAAAATGCAAGGAGGTATAGAAAAAAATCTCTCGCTTCCTGCTTCAAAATCGACGGAAAATATAAGCCTGTCACACGATTACCTCTCGGTGCTTCTATAATTCTTATATAGAATTTTTTGTTCATCAATTATCACCTATTCGACAGAGTTCCTTGCGAACACGCCTAATTGGATAAAAAAGCGTTATCAGGATCACACAATCGCGGGGAGGTATAGAAAAGACACTCTGCGCTCCTGCTGCAAATTTGGCGGAAAACGTGAGCCTGTCACACGATTATCTCTCCATATTTCTATAATCATGATACAACTGTTTATTCATCGATAATAACAACATCGGACCAGAATTCTTTGCAAAATCATAGAATCAAACAGGTTGCTCCTGTTACATAGTTGGCAGGATATTCAAACCTACACGCAATTACCTCTCGATGCTTCTGTAATCCTGATACCGAATCTTTATTAATCGATTATCATACATCAGTCAGGAGTTCATTGCAAAATCGCCAAATTGAATGGATGAAAATTTGTTATAGGGATCCCAAAATGCAAGGAGGTATAGAAAAAAATCTCTCGCTTCCTGCTTCAAAATCGACGGAAAATATAAGCCTGTCACACGATTACCTCTCGGTGCTTCTATAATTCTTATGCAGATTTTTTTGTTCATCAATTATCACATATCCAAAAGAGTTCCTTGCAAACTCGCCAAAATGGATAAAAAAGCGGTTATCAGTATCACAGAATCGCGGGGAGGTATAGAAAAGATACTCTGCGCTCCTGCTGCAAATTTGGCGGAAAATGTGAGCCTGTCACACGATTATCTCTCCATATTTCTATAATCATGATACAAACTGTTTATTCATCGATAATAACAACATCGGACCAGAATTCTTTACAAAATCATAGAATCAAACAGGTTGCTCCTGCTACATAATTGGCAGGATATTCAAACCTACACGCAATTACCTCTCGATGCTTCTGTAATCCTGATACCGAATCTTTATTAATCGATTATCATACATCAGTCAAGAGTTCATTGCAAAATCGCCAAATTAAATGGATGAAAATTTGTTATAGGGATCCCAAAAACGCAAGGAGGTATAGAAAAGAATCTCTCGGTTCCTGCTTCAAAATCGACGGAAAATATAAGCCTGTCACACGATTACCTCTCGGTGCTTCTATAATTCTTATATAGAATTTTTTGTCCATCAATTATCACCTATCCGACAGAGTTCCTTGCGAACACGCCTAAATGGATAAAAAAGCGTTATCAGGATCACAGAATCGCGGGGAGGTATAGAAAAGATACTCTGCGTTCCTGCTGCAAATTTGGCGGAAAACGTGAGCCTGTCACACGATTATCTCTCCATATTTCTATAATCATGATACAAACTGTTTATTCATCGATAATAACAACATCGGACCAGAATTCTTTGCAAAATCATAGGATCAAACAGGTTGCTCCTGCTACATAATTGGCAGGATATTCAAAGCTACACGCAATTACCTCACGATGCTTCTGTAATCCAGATACCGAATTTTTATTAATCGATTATCATACATCAGTCAAGAGTTCATTGCAAAATCGCCAAATTGAATGGATGAAAATTTGTTATAGGGATCCCAAAAACGCAAGGAGGTATAGAAAAAATCCCTCGCTTCATGCTTCAAAATCGACGGAAAATATAAGCCTGTCACACGATTACCTCTCGGTGCTTCTATAATTCTTATGCAGAATTTTTTGTTCATCAATTCACATATCCAAAAGAGTTCCTTGCAAACTCGCCGAAATGGATAAAAAAGCGTTATCAGGATCACAGAATCGCGGGAGGTATAGAAAAGATACTCTGCGCTCCTGCTGCAAATTTGGCGGAAAATGTGAGCCTGTCACACGATTATCTCTCCATGTTTCTATAATCATGATACAAAATGTTTATTCATCGATAATGACAATATCGGACCAGAATTCTTTATAAAATCATAGAATCAAACAGGTTGCTCCTGCTACATAATTGGCAGGATACTCAAACCTACACGCAATTACCTCTCGATGCTTCTGTAATCCTGATACCGAATCTTTATTAATCGATTATCATACATCAGTCAAAAGTTCATTGCAAAATCGCCAAATTGAATGGATGAACATTTGTTATAGGGATCCCAAAAACGCAAGGAGGTATAGAAAAGAATCTCTCGGTTCCTGCTTCAAAATCGACGGAAAATATAAGCCTGTCACACGATTACCTCTCGGTGCCTCTATAATTCTGAATATAATTTTTATTCATCGATTATTACAAATCCGACAGAGTTCCTTGCAAACTCGCCAAAATGGATAAAAAAGCGTTATCAGGATCACAGAATCGCGGGGAGGTATAGAAAAGATAATCTGCGCTCCTGCTGCAAATTTGGCGGAAAACGTGAGCCTGTCACACGATTATCTCTCCATATTTCTATAATCATGATACAAACAGTTTGTTCATCGATAATGACAACATCGGACCAGAATTCTTCACAAAATCATAGAATCAAACAGGTTGCTCCTGCTACATAATTGGCAGGATATTCAAACCTATACGCAATTACCTCTCGATGCTTCTGTAATCCAGATACCGAATCTTTATTAATCGATTATCATACATCAGTCAAGAGTTCATTGCAAAATCGCCAAATTGAATGGATGAAAATTTGTTATAGGGATCTCAAAAACGCAAGGAGGTATAGAAAAGAATCTCTCGCTTCCTGCTTCAAAATCGACGGAAAATATAAGCCATTCACACGGTTACCTCTCGATGCTTCTGTAATCCTGATAGCGAATTTATATTAATCGATTATCATACATCAGTCAAGAGTTCCTTGCAAAATCGTAAAATTGAACGGATGAAAATTTGTTATTGGGATCCCAGAAACGCAAGAAGATATAGAAAAGAAGCTCTCTGGTTCCTGCTTCAAAATCGACAGAAAATATAAGCCTGTCACACGATTACCACTCGGTGCTTCTGTAATTCCTATATAGAATTTTTTATTCATCAATTATTACATATTCGACAGATTTCTTTGCGAAATCGCCTAAATGGATAAAACCATATCAGGATCACATAAACGCGAGTAGGTATGGATTACCACACATCGGCCAAGAGTTCCTTGCAAAGTCGACGAACTGAGTTGATAAAATTTTGTTGTCGGGATCACAGAAACGCAAGGAGGCATGGAAAAATGTTTTGCTACAAAATTCATGGAAAATAGAAGCATGTTCACACGGTTACCTCTCGATCCGGATACCAAATTTTTATTAAGCGATTATCACACATCAGCCAAAAGTTCCTTGGAAAATCGCCAAATTGAATTGATAAAAATTAGTTATCAGGATCAAAGAAACACGAGGAGTTATGAAAAAGATATTCTGCTCCTGCTACCAAATTGACGGAATATCTCAGCCTGTCACACAGGATCACATAAACGCGAGTAGGTATGGAAAAGATACTCTCTGCTCCTGCTACATAATTGGCAGAATTTTCAAACCGACACGCGGTTATCTCTCGATGCTTCTGTAATCCTGATACCGAATTTTTATTCACCGATTACCACACATCAGCCAAGAGTTCCCTGCAAAATCGCCGAAGTGAATTGATGAAAATTTGTTATCGGGATCATGGAAGCGCGAGGAGGTATGAAAACATATTCTGCACCTGATACAAAATTGGCGGAAAATCTCAGCCTGTCGCACGGTCATGTCTCGATGCTGTAATCACGCCGAATTTGCATTCATCAATATTGTACCCCTCATCGGCCAAGAGTTAATTGGAAAATCGCCTAATTGAATGGATGAAATCAGTTCACAAAAACTCAAGGAGGTATGGAAAAGATTCAAAATTGACGTTAAAGCCAAACCTGTCACAGGATTACCTCTCGATGCTCTGTGATCCTCATACAAAATGTGTATTTCATCATTATCATGCATCTGACTAGAATTCTTTGCAAAATCATTAAATCCAATTGGAGGGAAATTCAGACGCCTTACACGATTAACTCTCGAAACTTCTGTAATCGGAATGCTAACCTCTTATCCATCGTTTATCACACGCATTCCTATCAAAATCGAGAAATTGAATGGATGAAAAATTATCAGGATCGCAGAAACACAACGTGCGCCGTTTTGTCTTTTACTATTTTAAAAGGGGTGTCTGTCCTCTAGTGATAAAAGATTTAACTACCTTCCAAGAGCATATAGAATCCTTACAACTGTCCAGTATTCAACGCTTACTACACTGAATAACCGACAGATGGCGCAGTACTAGTTGCTTTGCTAGTGGCCTCTATTCAACGAAAGCTCAACTAGCTTACCTCACAATATACATAAGTGAGTTCTTACAGTTTCCTTTATAATTAAAATTGTTTACAATGTCAAGGTTCACGAACAGATGGCACGTAGTAAAGAAATTTAAAATTGGGTATTTGAGGATTACTGAATCCAAATTCACGATGAGATGTAAATAATAACAGTTAGCGCGTGATCTCTCGGTAGCAGGTGGGGACAACGCCTCTTATTGGTCAATTTGCCATTAAATTTCAAGCGGTCGCCTGGCGACTATTCATAAACTTTTGAAGCATCTTAATTTCGAATGGAAAAAACGAGGTCGTAACAGCTTACTTATGGATAGAGAAGAAATTGTTCTGTGGAGGAGAGAGTACCTGACCAAAATTAAATCATTCAGGGATCAGCACAGGAAGATCTATTACCTGGACGAAACCTGGATTAACGCTGGGCACACTACTCCGAAGGTATGGGTTGACAAAACTGTGACTCCATCCAGAAGGGCATTTCTAGATGGACTGTCGACCGGATTGAAAAATCCAGCAGGTAAATAGATCGAAGTAGTTCACGGTATCAATTTTTGCGCACATCTCTCTATCTTCGTACCTACAAGACGTGCATGTGTACTTAGTGGATTTTATCTTTCTAGGCAAAGGAAAAAGGCTCATTCTTTGCCACATTGAGGGTGTAGATGGCTTCGTGGATGACGGCTTATGGTCTTTTGAGTCAAAAAAAAACCACTGACTACCATGAAGAGATGAATGGGGAAGCATTCGAGAAGTGGTTTTCAGGCATTTTACCACGTCTCGAAGACAATTCTGTGGTTGTTTTGGATAATGTTCCCTATTATTCTCGTAAAATAGAAAAAATCCCAACTTCAGCTTCTAGGAAATCAGACATTCAGAGCTCCATTCCAAAAATATAACTTTCGACCCTTTTACTGAAATTACAACTATTAGATATTGTGAAACAATACAGACCAAAACATGATAATATGTCATAGATGAAATGGCCAAAGCACCACAAAACAGTACTCCGTTTGCCGCCTTACCACTGTGAGCTGAACCCCATTGAAATCATATGGGCAGATGTTAAGAATTTTGTTGCTGCACACAATACAACATAAATTTTCTGACATGCAAGAGCTGTTCAGAATTGGTATACAGAGGGTCACGCCAGAAAGATGGGAAAAATGTGTGCAGCACGTTCAGGAGAAAGTGGAGGCAGCAATGTGGGAGCTGGACAACATAATTGAGAGAGATTTTGAATCCATCATCATAAAAATTAATGACGATAGCTCTTCAAGTGAGTCTGAGTAAGTTTCGCGTTTTTGTTTTGTCACAGAATACATATTATGGGAATCCTAGTTATAGTGAAATATTAACTTACAGATAAACTACAGACAATGCAAGTCCGAAGTGCACCTTCAAAATCTATTTTCAATTGATTGAATAGCCTTATATTTATTCCATGTACAAAAGTGTCATCCTACCCCTCGTTGACTACAGATTCATTGTGCATAGTGAGCAGCTGGTTACCTCTGGTATCTATTTCTCCATGTTGTCTAGTTTGAAAAATCTGTAGAAAAACTTAGCACCCCTTCAAGAATAAAAATTTGATTTTGCAACAACCTTAACTATAACTACTTCACTATATTGGATAATTTCGTTAAGCACTGTCATCTTTGTTTTACAACACGTTGGTGGTAGTCCATCATTAGTTGGTAGCCCTGAATGCGGCCCTGTACGCCGTCCTTGCTTTTGGCAATCACGCATCCATTCTATCTTGGGTGTAAATACACTTTCCTGTCATGTGGGGAATCCCCGAGATCCAGGATCAAGGACTTTTGAGGGGAAAGTGTTAGAAGTGGGGGAAGTAAGAATAATGGTGCACTTATAGGCGTTCTGAGGCATTTATCTCAATCTCAAGGGAGGACGAGTAGGACGACCATTGACAAGAGATAACTTCTTGTGGGCGTGTATCTTACCCAAAACCATTTGAACAGCGGGGACGGTAGCGAATTTTCTAAGGTGACCAAATCCTAATATTTCCCAATTCATGCTAAATATATTTTTGATAAATATTTATGTATGGAATGCATTGATCAATGTCTCAAAGCTTTGGGCGCATCCAGCCAAGGTAAAGCAGCCCCAGCGCTTTTATGCTGTACAGCAGTAGCCATGGAATAGCTTCAAGTTTGCAATATTTAATTACTATCAAATCTGACAGCGAAGTGGAAACTACTGTCACATTGACAAAGCTACTGCTATTCAGGATAAAAACACGACACTACTACAGAGGCTGACCTCTGCCATTGTCTGGGGCCTCTACATAGTGGGTTCCTATGCGCCAAGATATTTTATTATAAATAGCTCGGCTCAACAAAATACTAAAAAGGCAAATATTTTACAAAGAACGGAGGAATATATACCATGCCTCAAACATTTTCTCCTGAATCAGCAAACCTAAATGAAACACATATTATTCAGCAAAAATATAATAGCACAACAATATAAACTAATGTGTTAGATATGCATTCTGCAGTTAGGACATGTATTGTTACTAGTCAACCATCCATTAATGCAACGTTCATGAAACTGATGTCTACATTTCAGTTGCTTGATTGATCTGCCTTTAAGATTCGTTAAGCAAATAGTGCATTTCCCAGGTCTCCTTCGTAGATCATCATCATCTTCACTGTCTTCTAGAGATCTGACACTACTTATGCTGCTTCCACAATATCGAGTATTATAATCATCATAGCTATAACCGTTATGCCTCCCTCTGTTATTTTGCTCTCTATTCGAGTTCCAAAAAGTATAAGCAATTGTGCCTGCAGCTACAAGCAACATAACACCGAAGGCTAGAGGATGAAATTGGAAACCCATGTTTTCTTCTGTAAAACTGATTGTAATCACCAATTGCTTTTATGTGTTCTGGAGGATTTCAAGTATCCTCATCAGCTTCTCAGCATAACTTGGTTTTTCACTTTGAGTTTCTAGGGCACCGTGTTTACTCACATTTCACTGCAACATTTTGATGTTGAAATGTCGAAATTCTCTAGAGCTCCTTCACAAAACGTCATATGCGTCGATCGTTTATGAAAAATGCCTTCAAAACAACGATGCTTATATAAGGACAAACAATGAAACTTCAAAAGACGCTTTGGCTTGGCTTGGCGTTTGACAGGGACGAATGGACGATGGTTGTTTTATTTGAAAACATCTTATTTTCTGCTTGTTTACAGTTTTTTTTCTTTCAAAGCATTATATTTTCTGCTTAAGATAACTGTCAGCAGATGGCGCTATAGCAAAAGCGCCATCTCTTAGCTAAAGCTGAAACAAAATAGTTGACGCTTACGAGTTATCAAGAAAACTATACGAATTGTCAGCGATGCTGATGACTTGGAAAAAGATGGCACGTCCAGCATAATAGTACGGTCATTTTATGCAAAAAATATTTAGCATTTTCTTCACTTGTATAACAAAAATATAATAGTAATAAAGTTGAAATTCAATGTACAGGAAAACGTATGGTATCAAAATGTTAAGCATTTTCATATTGTACTCAATCATTCATTAATCATTCTGTCCATTAGATAAACTATCTGCTGTCCTCAGGAACATCGCATAGGATACAATTCCCCTAACTACCTGAAAAATACAATTCAATAAAAACCCTACATATTTTGGGTGATACAAGAACAGCCTTTAACATATAGAACACTAAAACTTAATGATACAACTTCCAGTAAAAAATGCCGTACTGTAATGTACATTATTGACGTTATCTCATGCAGTAAGCTTCAAAATAGTTCGATTTTTGTTAAAAAAATCTTCGTTCATCTCAAAAGCTCCAATTTACTAAAAAGAAGTCGCATACAAATTTTTCGTACAAAATAATTAGAAAACATCTACGTTCCATTACCTTTCAAATGAGGTATAAAAGTCACAAATCGATTAAGAATTGGCAAAAATATGACTATTATAAGAGGAGGCAGGAAAAAGCAATAAAAATACGACACTTACAAAATCTTACCTTAATACAGGATAATTTGTTTGAAACTACATTTTTTTATTTTTATAATACATTTTCAATATGGCGCCCTCTATTTCTAATGCACACACGTGCTCTTCTTATGACAGCTGATTTTACTACCGCCGAATTCCTAAGAGAGGCTTGAATTTCTTGTGCTGCATGTATTATCCTGTTTCTGGGGTCTTCTATTGTGGGTACAGGATTTTGATCAGAGTATACTAAAGTTTTCATGCGACCCCACACAAAAAAGTCCATAGGTGTGAGATCGGGACTGCGTGCTGGCCATGGGATTGGTCCGCCTCTACCGATCCATCGATTCGGAAACTGCTCATTTAACCAATTTCTAACACTTCTGTCTGTGTCTTGTGTGTAGCGGCACGTCTTCAAGTAATTCAAATAGAACAATTCTTAAGAAATTTTCGTAGGCTTCTCCATTTAAGTTGTCTGGTAGGAAATGTGGTCCTACCAAACAGTTATTTATAATGCCCATCCAGACATTAAGACAAAATCGCCTTTGAGATCCTTTTGGTCTCTTCATATGAGGATTTCCTACTGCACGTTCACGCCAATAGTGAGCGTTATGGTAGTTTGTTATGCCGTCTTTATCAAATTTTGATTCGTCGGTCCATAGAATTTTTCTTAAATAATTGCTATCTTCAACATCAGCGTTTAAAATAAAACGACAAAATTGCATGCGCCTCATGGGATGTGTATAGTGGTAAGGGTGGAATATGTTTTCATGCAAAACATTCCACACTTGCCTTTGGGATAATCCAAGTCGTCGAGCCACAGCGCGAGTAGAGAGAGTAGGGTCTCTTTCGAAAATATTTAATATTTCGTCTTCTTCTACATCATGTCGAGGTCTACCTGCATCACCTGAAATAAAATGAAAAAAATAACAGTTTTTTGGAGGAAATTGTTACCTAATAAACATAGCGGTAAGACTACGAGCTAGAGTTGGCAAAATATTATTTAGAAAAAAACGATACACAACGTGTGGATGTTTCCATCTTCAGAGCCGTGTAGATGCTCGTGTTAAGTTAAATGAATAAACTCTTAATTAAGAAGTATCAAAATAACTATGTTACAGTATCGTCAGTTCAGCCCACAGACCTCCAAGGCTCTACATAGGCCTTACTGAACGACTGATTATGATAAGTTAATAATTATCAATGATGCAAACTTACCTTGATATCTTACGACGGTATCGCGCTCTCGAACCCGACGGAACGTTTGCCTAAATACGCGAGCGTCAGGTAGGCGATGATTAGGAAACATTTCCTTATACTCACGACGAGCTTCTTCAGCATTGCCTCTGGCATCTGCGTAGTAGAAGAGGATATCGGCATATTCTTCGAAACTGAACGGCCGCCTCCTTTGTTCATTATCCATTGTTCATCGATAGGTCGATCAACGAACAATCAAGTCACACAGCAGAAAAGTCGTAAGGAATCACAGAAAACAGGGTACAGTCTCGGTCGTCAGGAAAAGAATCACACACGGAAGTCCAACAAGAGCCCAGTCGTTAGAAATATCAAAACAGCGAGCAAACAAACACATCCGAACGCAACAAATCGCAAGAGCACATTGAAGTGGGGTAGGAAGGGGGGTGACTAGTCTTACTTATCACACTATTCCGGTGGCAAAGTCTGTTCGAGGCTCTACCTGTTTCTTTCACTCATATCTTTGTCATTTCTAAACCGGTTTGTGACTTTGATACCTCATTTGAAAGGTAATTAAACGTAGACATTTTAAAATTGTTTTTCACGAAAAAATTGTAGGTGATTGTTTCTAGTAAATTGAGTTTTTAAGATGAACGAATATTTTTTTTTTATCAAAAATTGAACTATTTTGAAGCTTACTGCATGAGATAACATCAATAATGTACATTTGAGTATCAATTTTCGTATTTTAGAATATTTTTATTGTAAAACAAAAAAAAAAACAAATGAAACACCCAATTTTCAAGTTTTATGACTTTGTTAACGTTAATTTTATAAAATCTTAAAAATTAGTATGATTCGAAAACGGCTAATTTTCGGACAGTAGTTCCTATAGTAAAATCGACTCAGATTGGCTTGTACTATCTCCTCCCACCGGCTCCGCATCTATTTTCCCGTCACCCCGTATAAAAAACGTTATACCATCATTGTTACAAAAATTGTAAATTTTCTAAATTAAATGAAATATGAGCCATCAGTGATAAAAAAGGAAATCTCAGGCAGTCCGAGAGCTGACAACGCTGACATTTAAAGATAGTCGATCGATGACATGTCCTTTAGACGAATAATAGACATCGTAGGTGGATTATTGGCTGTTTTTTTCTTTTGATAGATGCCATTAAAATCAATTATGTTGCAGTTCTGTTCTCTATTTGTCTGTTCTGTTGCAGATAATAATATCTGTAATTTGTTTCAGATACTGCGTTTCCGCGGACGACAACGCAGATCTGAACGACCAAATAGCAGAAGAATTGCGTGAAGAATTAGAAAAACGACGATTGAAGAACGCAGACGGCTCCAGCTGCGACATGGACGAAGACTTCGATAACTCCATGCCCGCCACTGTCGATGACAAAGACAAACTCGAAGACCGATTGGCTGCTGAAAAGAAGGAAGACCCTGAAGAATCGGCAAAGTCGGATGTGCGGACGGCAACGCCGAACGAACAAAGTTTGGAAAGTGAGGTTAGGACTGTGGCGTCAGACGCAAGGGGATCTCTTGTGAAGGATAATACTTGAAGCAAGAATGAAAGGGGATTGTACATATTTATGCATTGATTTTTTTTGAGTTTGTTACTGGCTTTTTGTATATATGTACATGCATTAAAGTATTATTTTTTCTTTTTTAAGGCGAGTTTTATTTTCCATGCGCACGCATTGGAGTTACCAAAAATAAATGGCATATCGTAAAAATCAGGCGCGAACGTGACAGTTGAGTAACAGCAAATTGTTTCTCATAATTTGGAAATTGCTAATCATCAATCAATTTTACAAAATATATCTGTCCGATATGACACTGAATGCTGGCATTCCAATTCTATCACCACTATAATCCGTGATTATAGAATGTTTTTTAGCAAAATCGTCAAATTGAGTGAAGGAAAAACTGCCAGGATATCAGAACCGCGAGGAGGTATGGAAAAAGTGTTTTGGCGGGAAATCCAGACCTCGCACGATTACCTCTCGGTATTTCTATAATTCTGAATATAATTTTTTATTCATCGATTATCACAAAACCCGACAGAGTTCCTTGCAAACTCGCCAAAATGGATAAAAAAGCGTTATCAGAATCGCGGGGAGGTATAGAAAAGATACTCTGCGCTCCTGCTGCAAATTTGGCGGAAAACGTGAGCCTGTCACACGATTATCTCTCCATATTTCTATAATCATGATACAAACTGTTTATTCATCCATAATAACAACATTGGACCAGAATTCTTTGCAAACTCATAGAATCAAACAGGTTGTTCCTGCTACATAATTGGTAGGATATTCAAAGCTACACGCAATTACCTCACGATGCTTCTGTAATCCAGATACCGAATTTTTATTAATCGATTATCATACATCAGTGAAGAGTTCATTGCAAAATCGCCAAATTGAATGGATGAAAATTTGTTATAGGGATCCCAAAAACGCAAGGAGGTATAGAAAAGAATCTCTCGGTTCCTGCTTCAAAATCGACGGAAAATATAAGCCTGTCACACGATTACCTCTCGGTGCTTCTATAATTCTTATATAGAATTTTTTGTTCATCAATTATCACCTATCCGACAGAGTTCCTTGCGAACACGCCTAATTGGATAAAAAAGCGTTATCAGGATCACACAATCGCGGGGAGGTATAGAAAAGACACTCTGCGCTCCTGCTGCAAATTTGGCGGAAAACGTGAGCCTGTCACACGATTATCTCTCCATATTTCTATAATCATGATACAAACTGTTTATTCATCGATAATAACAACATCGGACCAGAATTCTTTGCAAAATCATAGAATCAAACAGGTTGCTCCTGTTACATAGTTGGCAGGATATTCAAACCTACACGCAATTACCTCTCGATGCTTCTGTAATCCTGATACCGAATCTTTATTAATCGATTATCATACATCAGTCAGGAGTTCATTGCAAAATCGCCAAATTGAATGGATGAAAATTTGTTATAGGGATCCCAAAATGCAAGGAGGTATAGAAAAAAATCTCTCGCTTCCTGCTTCAAAATCGACGGAAAATATAAGCCTGTCACACGATTACCTCTCGGTGCTTCTATAATTCTTATATAGAATTTTTTGTTCATCAATTATCACCTATTCGACAGAGTTCCTTGCGAACACGCCTAATTGGATAAAAAAGCGTTATCAGGATCACACAATCGCGGGGAGGTATAGAAAAGACACTCTGCGCTCCTGCTGCAAATTTGGCGGAAAACGTGAGCCTGTCACACGATTATCTCTCCATATTTCTATAATCATGATACAAACTGTTTATTCATCGATAATAACAACATCGGACCAGAATTCTTTGCAAAATCATAGAATCAAACAGGTTGCTCCTGTTACATAGTTGGCAGGATATTCAAACCTACACGCAATTACCTCTCGATGCTTCTGTAATCCTGATACCGAATCTTTATTAATCGATTATCATACATCAGTCAGGAGTTCATTGCAAAATCGCCAAATTGAATGGATGAAAATTTGTTATAGGGATCCCAAAATGCAAGGAGGTATAGAAAAAAATCTCTCGCTTCCTGCTTCAAAATCGACGGAAAATATAAGCCTGTCACACGATTACCTCTCGGTGCTTCTATAATTCTTATGCAGATTTTTTTGTTCATCAATTATCACATATCCAAAAGAGTTCCTTGCAAACTCGCCAAAATGGATAAAAAAGCGGTATCAGTATCACAGAATCGCGGGGAGGTATAGAAAAGATACTCTGCGCTCCTGCTGCAAATTTGGCGGAAAATGTGAGCCTGTCACACGATTATCTCTCCATATTTCTATAATCATGATACAAACTGTTTATTCATCGATAATAACAACATCGGACCAGAATTCTTTACAAAATCATAGAATCAAACAGGTTGCTCCTGCTACATAATTGGCAGGATATTCAAACCTACACGCAATTACCTCTCGATGCTTCTGTAATCCTGATACCGAATCTTTATTAATCGATTATCATACATCAGTCAAGAGTTCATTGCAAAATCGCCAAATTAAATGGATGAAAATTTGTTATAGGGATCCCAAAAACGCAAGGAGGTATAGAAAAGAATCTCTCGGTTCCTGCTTCAAAATCGACGGAAAATATAAGCCTGTCACACGATTACCTCTCGGTGCTTCTATAATTCTTATATAGAATTTTTTGTCCATCAATTATCACCTATCCGACAGAGTTCCTTGCGAACACGCCTAAATGGATAAAAAAGCGTTATCAGGATCACAGAATCGCGGGGAGGTATAGAAAAGATACTCTGCGTTCCTGCTGCAAATTTGGCGGAAAACGTGAGCCTGTCACACGATTATCTCTCCATATTTCTATAATCATGATACAAACTGTTTATTCATCGATAATAACAACATCGGACCAGAATTCTTTGCAAAATCATAGGATCAAACAGGTTGCTCCTGCTACATAATTGGCAGGATATTCAAAGCTACACGCAATTACCTCACGATGCTTCTGTAATCCAGATACCGAATTTTTATTAATCGATTATCATACATCAGTCAAGAGTTCATTGCAAAATCGCCAAATTGAATGGATGAAAATTTGTTATAGGGATCCCAAAAACGCAAGGAGGTATAGAAAAAAATCCCTCGCTTCATGCTTCAAAATCGACGGAAAATATAAGCCTGTCACACGATTACCTCTCGGTGCTTCTATAATTCTTATGCAGAATTTTTTGTTCATCAATTCACATATCCAAAAGAGTTCCTTGCAAACTCGCCGAAATGGATAAAAAAGCGTTATCAGGATCACAGAATCGCGGGGAGGTATAGAAAAGATACTCTGCGCTCCTGCTGCAAATTTGGCGGAAAATGTGAGCCTGTCACACGATTATCTCTCCATGTTTCTATAATCATGATACAAAATGTTTATTCATCGATAATGACAATATCGGACCAGAATTCTTTATAAAATCATAGAATCAAACAGGTTGCTCCTGCTACATAATTGGCAGGATACTCAAACCTACACGCAATTACCTCTCGATGCTTCTGTAATCCTGATACCGAATCTTTATTAATCGATTATCATACATCAGTCAAAAGTTCATTGCAAAATCGCCAAATTGAATGGATGAACATTTGTTATAGGGATCCCAAAAACGCAAGGAGGTATAGAAAAGAATCTCTCGGTTCCTGCTTCAAAATCGACGGAAAATATAAGCCTGTCACACGATTACCTCTCGGTGCCTCTATAATTCTGAATATAATTTTTTATTCATCGATTATTACAAATCCGACAGAGTTCCTTGCAAACTCGCCAAAATGGATAAAAAAGCGTTATCAGGATCACAGAATCGCGGGGAGGTATAGAAAAGATAATCTGCGCTCCTGCTGCAAATTTGGCGGAAAACGTGAGCCTGTCACACGATTATCTCTCCATATTTCTATAATCATGATACAAACAGTTTGTTCATCGATAATGACAACATCGGACCAGAATTCTTCACAAAATCATAGAATCAAACAGGTTGCTCCTGCTACATAATTGGCAGGATATTCAAACCTATACGCAATTACCTCTCGATGCTTCTGTAATCCAGATACCGAATCTTTATTAATCGATTATCATACATCAGTCAAGAGTTCATTGCAAAATCGCCAAATTGAATGGATGAAAATTTGTTATAGGGATCTCAAAAACGCAAGGAGGTATAGAAAAGAATCTCTCGCTTCCTGCTTCAAAATCGACGGAAAATATAAGCCATTCACACGGTTACCTCTCGATGCTTCTGTAATCCTGATAGCGAATTTATATTAATCGATTATCATACATCAGTCAAGAGTTCCTTGCAAAATCGTAAAATTGAACGGATGAAAATTTGTTATTGGGATCCCAGAAACGCAAGAAGATATAGAAAAGAAGCTCTCTGGTTCCTGCTTCAAAATCGACAGAAAATATAAGCCTGTCACACGATTACCACTCGGTGCTTCTGTAATTCCTATATAGAATTTTTTATTCATCAATTATTACATATTCGACAGATTTCTTTGCGAAATCGCCTAAATGGATAAAACCATATCAGGATCACATAAACGCGAGTAGGTATGGATTACCACACATCGGCCAAGAGTTCCTTGCAAAGTCGACGAACTGAGTTGATAAAATTTTGTTGTCGGGATCACAGAAACGCAAGGAGGCATGGAAAAATGTTTTGCTACAAAATTCATGGAAAATAGAAGCATGTTCACACGGTTACCTCTCGATCCGGATACCAAATTTTTATTAAGCGATTATCACACATCAGCCAAAAGTTCCTTGGAAAATCGCCAAATTGAATTGATAAAAATTAGTTATCAGGATCAAAGAAACACGAGGAGTTATGAAAAAGATATTCTGCTCCTGCTACCAAATTGACGGAATATCTCAGCCTGTCACACAGGATCACATAAACGCGAGTAGGTATGGAAAAGATACTCTCTGCTCCTGCTACATAATTGGCAGAATTTTCAAACCGACACGCGGTTATCTCTCGATGCTTCTGTAATCCTGATACCGAATTTTTATTCACCGATTACCACACATCAGCCAAGAGTTCCCTGCAAAATCGCCGAAGTGAATTGATGAAAATTTGTTATCGGGATCATGGAAGCGCGAGGAGGTATGAAAACATATTCTGCACCTGATACAAAATTGGCGGAAAATCTCAGCCTGTCGCACGGTCATGTCTCGATGCTGTAATCACGCCGAATTTGCATTCATCAATATTGTACCCCTCATCGGCCAAGAGTTAATTGGAAAATCGCCTAATTGAATGGATGAAATCAGTTCACAAAAACTCAAGGAGGTATGGAAAAGATTCAAAATTGACGTTAAAGCCAAACCTGTCACAGGATTACCTCTCGATGCTCTGTGATCCTCATACAAAATGTGTATTTCATCATTATCATGCATCTGACTAGAATTCTTTGCAAAATCATTAAATCCAATTGGAGGGAAATTCAGACGCCTTACACGATTAACTCTCGAAACTTCTGTAATCGGAATGCTAACCTCTTATCCATCGTTTATCACACGCATTCCTATCAAAATCGAGAAATTGAATGGATGAAAAATTATCAGGATCGCAGAAACACAACGTGCGCCGTTTTGTCTTTTACTATTTTAAAAGGGGTGTCTGTCCTCTAGTGATAAAAGATTTAACTACCTTCCAAGAGCATATAGAATCCTTACAACTGTCCAGTATTCAACGCTTACTACACTGAATAACCGACAGATGGCGCAGTACTAGTTGCTTTGCTAGTGGCCTCTATTCAACGAAAGCTCAACTAGCTTACCTCACAATATACATAAGTGAGTTCTTACAGTTTCCTTTATAATTAAAATTGTTTACAATGTCAAGGTTCACGAACAGATGGCACGTAGTAAAGAAATTTAAAATTGGGTATTTGAGGATTACTGAATCCAAATTCACGATGAGATGTAAATAATAACAGTTAGCGCGTGATCTCTCGGTAGCAGGTGGGGACAACGCCTCTTATTGGTCAATTTGCCATTAAATTTCAAGCGGTCGCCTGGCGACTATTCATAAACTTTTGAAGCATCTTAATTTCGAATGGAAAAAACGAGGTCGTAACAGCTTACTTATGGATAGAGAAGAAATTGTTCTGTGGAGGAGAGAGTACCTGACCAAAATTAAATCATTCAGGGATCAGCACAGGAAGATCTATTACCTGGACGAAACCTGGATTAACGCTGGGCACACTACTCCGAAGGTATGGGTTGACAAAACTGTGACTCCATCCAGAAGGGCATTTCTAGATGGACTGTCGACCGGATTGAAAAATCCAGCAGGTAAATAGATCGAAGTAGTTCACGGTATCAATTTTTGCGCACATCTCTCTATCTTCGTACCTACAAGACGTGCATGTGTACTTAGTGGATTTTATCTTTCTAGGCAAAGGAAAAAGGCTCATTCTTTGCCACATTGAGGGTGTAGATGGCTTCGTGGATGACGGCTTATGGTCTTTTGAGTCAAAAAAAAACCACTGACTACCATGAAGAGATGAATGGGGAAGCATTCGAGAAGTGGTTTTCAGGCATTTTACCACGTCTCGAAGACAATTCTGTGGTTGTTTTGGATAATGTTCCCTATTATTCTCGTAAAATAGAAAAAATCCCAACTTCAGCTTCTAGGAAATCAGACATTCAGAGCTCCATTCCAAAAATATAACTTTCGACCCTTTTACTGAAATTACAACTATTAGATATTGTGAAACAATACAGACCAAAACATGATAATATGTCATAGATGAAATGGCCAAAGCACCACAAAACAGTACTCCGTTTGCCGCCTTACCACTGTGAGCTGAACCCCATTGAAATCATATGGGCAGATGTTAAGAATTTTGTTGCTGCACACAATACAACATAAATTTTCTGACATGCAAGAGCTGTTCAGAATTGGTATACAGAGGGTCACGCCAGAAAGATGGGAAAAATGTGTGCAGCACGTTCAGGAGAAAGTGGAGGCAGCAATGTGGGAGCTGGACAACATAATTGAGAGAGATTTTGAATCCATCATCATAAAAATTAATGACGATAGCTCTTCAAGTGAGTCTGAGTAAGTTTCGCGTTTTTGTTTTGTCACAGAATACATATTATGGGAATCCTAGTTATAGTGAAATATTAACTTACAGATAAACTACAGACAATGCAAGTCCGAAGTGCACCTTCAAAATCTATTTTCAATTGATTGAATAGCCTTATATTTATTCCATGTACAAAAGTGTCATCCTACCCCTCGTTGACTACAGATTCATTGTGCATAGTGAGCAGCTGGTTACCTCTGGTATCTATTTCTCCATGTTGTCTAGTTTGAAAAATCTGTAGAAAAACTTAGCACCCCTTCAAGAATAAAAATTTGATTTTGCAACAACCTTAACTATAACTACTTCACTATATTGGATAATTTCGTTAAGCACTGTCATCTTTGTTTTACAACACGTTGGTGGTAGTCCATCATTAGTTGGTAGCCCTGAATGCGGCCCTGTACGCCGTCCTTGCTTTTGGCAATCACGCATCCATTCTATCTTGGGTGTAAATACACTTTCCTGTCATGTGGGGAATCCCCGAGATCCAGGATCAAGGACTTTTGAGGGGAAAGTGTTAGAAGTGGGGGAAGTAAGAATAATGGTGCACTTATAGGCGTTCTGAGGCATTTATCTCAATCTCAAGGGAGGACGAGTAGGACGACCATTGACAAGAGATAACTTCTTGTGGGCGTGTATCTTACCCAAAACCATTTGAACAGCGGGGACGGTAGCGAATTTTCTAAGGTGACCAAATCCTAATATTTCCCAATTCATGCTAAATATATTTTTGATAAATATTTATGTATGGAATGCATTGATCAATGTCTCAAAGCTTTGGGCGCATCCAGCCAAGGTAAAGCAGCCCCAGCGCTTTTATGCTGTACAGCAGTAGCCATGGAATAGCTTCAAGTTTGCAATATTTAATTACTATCAAATCTGACAGCGAAGTGGAAACTACTGTCACATTGACAAAGCTACTGCTATTCAGGATAAAAACACGACACTACTACAGAGGCTGACCTCTGCCATTGTCTGGGGCCTCTACATAGTGGGTTCCTATGCGCCAAGATATTTTATTATAAATAGCTCGGCTCAACAAAATACTAAAAAGGCAAATATTTTACAAAGAACGGAGGAATATATACCATGCCTCAAACATTTTCTCCTGAATCAGCAAACCTAAATGAAACACATATTATTCAGCAAAAATATAATAGCACAACAATATAAACTAATGTGTTAGATATGCATTCTGCAGTTAGGACATGTATTGTTACTAGTCAACCATCCATTAATGCAACGTTCATGAAACTGATGTCTACATTTCAGTTGCTTGATTGATCTGCCTTTAAGATTCGTTAAGCAAATAGTGCATTTCCCAGGTCTCCTTCGTAGATCATCATCATCTTCACTGTCTTCTAGAGATCTGACACTACTTATGCTGCTTCCACAATATCGAGTATTATAATCATCATAGCTATAACCGTTATGCCTCCCTCTGTTATTTTGCTCTCTATTCGAGTTCCAAAAAGTATAAGCAATTGTGCCTGCAGCTACAAGCAACATAACACCGAAGGCTAGAGGATGAAATTGGAAACCCATGTTTTCTTCTGTAAAACTGATTGTAATCACCAATTGCTTTTATGTGTTCTGGAGGATTTCAAGTATCCTCATCAGCTTCTCAGCATAACTTGGTTTTTCACTTTGAGTTTCTAGGGCACCGTGTTTACTCACATTTCACTGCAACATTTTGATGTTGAAATGTCGAAATTCTCTAGAGCTCCTTCACAAAACGTCATATGCGTCGATCGTTTATGAAAAATGCCTTCAAAACAACGATGCTTATATAAGGACAAACAATGAAACTTCAAAAGACGCTTTGGCTTGGCTTGGCGTTTGACAGGGACGAATGGACGATGGTTGTTTTATTTGAAAACATCTTATTTTCTGCTTGTTTACAGTTTTTTTTCTTTCAAAGCATTATATTTTCTGCTTAAGATAACTGTCAGCAGATGGCGCTATAGCAAAAGCGCCATCTCTTAGCTAAAGCTGAAACAAAATAGTTGACGCTTACGAGTTATCAAGAAAACTATACGAATTGTCAGCGATGCTGATGACTTGGAAAAAGATGGCACGTCCAGCATAATAGTACGGTCATTTTATGCAAAAAATATTTAGCATTTTCTTCACTTGTATAACAAAAATATAATAGTAATAAAGTTGAAATTCAATGTACAGGAAAACGTATGGTATCAAAATGTTAAGCATTTTCATATTGTACTCAATCATTCATTAATCATTCTGTCCATTAGATAAACTATCTGCTGTCCTCAGGAACATCGCATAGGATACAATTCCCCTAACTACCTGAAAAATACAATTCAATAAAAACCCTACATATTTTGGGTGATACAAGAACAGCCTTTAACATATAGAACACTAAAACTTAATGATACAACTTCCAGTAAAAAATGCCGTACTGTGGGTACCCCTATTGATATAAAGTTCAAAATGTAAAAGATGAAATATGCGCCTAATATTTGTCTACCGATTTTTGAACCGCCTAAGGTTAGCAGAACTGGGAAAAGCCTCTTCAGATAGATTGTTCTACAGTCTCGATACCCTAGGGGCAAGTTCGTCACGGTTAGGGTGGCAGGCTGAAGTTAGGAGAGTCTGACGGGCAGGCTCATCGCGCGGCGGCATCATGGAGGAGATGTCTGAGAGATAAAATCCATTGATATAGCGGTAGAAGAGTCGTATATAATCGGCAATAAGTAAAAAATGAAAATAATGGATATGGATGGTATTTATCGCTATCATTTTAACAAAACCTTAATCAAATTCAAGCGGATAACCAAATGGAAATGGTATTTACCATTTTGGGTTGGTATTTACCAATCCGTTCAAACGAGTGTAGTTATCAGTTTGGTTATAAGATCCGTGACGTCACGAATCAGCTGTTATATGTCATAGTTATCACCGCAAAATTGTGGTATTTACCCAACTCTAGAGTAGTTTTATATTTCTGGTCATTATTTGAAATGTGACAAGCTAGAATTTTGCCGGGTATTGGATATTGTTATTGTACTTCAGCTTCATTTTTGGGAAAAATGATACAGGCTGACTTTAGTTTTACCATAAAGTGGAGCACCTTATTAGTTATACTCATTACGGTTGTTGGGGACAGTTTAAATGTAGTTCCTATGCTTAACAAAGTATCCTGTGTAGCCATATACCACAAGAATATTAAAATATGGCCATATAAACTCACTAGATGATATCCACCTGTATACGGTTTTGCTAATTTCTTTTTTCATCATTTCTGCTGAATCAATAAATGTTTTCTTTGACATGCGGAAAAATTAAGAGAATTGAAAGTTATCATAGCTACAAAGCCATGGTTCCATCATTAAAAAAAAATCAGAAAAAAACATTTCTCCCATGAATATTATGAAAGGTTTCTTATTTAAACTTTCCATATACAGTTGTAGACGAAAAAGCACCGATTATTAAGTGATAACAAAAATAATCAGAGTTTATATACGCGCTTTTCTAAGATTATAAACAACTTGCAACAAAACCGCGGTTAAAACCAACGCGTTCATGCGATTCGTGTAACTGACGTCATCAACCCGTGTGTCATCTTGAACCATATTATAACCGCGGCACATAACACAGAAATTTTGGTTATTCGATTCTTGTTTACGCTACCTTTGCTATGACAGATCGTCAAACTTCAAAAATCTATTTAACCTCAGATTAGGTCTTTCAGACATCAATTTTTATGAGGTTTTTAAGTATTGCTATAATTAGATATACATATTGTTATTTCTTGTTTGTTATGTTTGAAATACAATGTCTTTGTTTTTTAAACAATCCTTCGTATTCGGCAATCACTATGATATTATAATGATTCTATCACCTATCAAACTTCATAATATCAACTTATTTTAAAGATCCGACGCCATATTTGACACTCCATATTGAATGGCTGTTTTTCAACAGCATATTTAAAATCAGCGACCTCAAAGACCAAATGTGTGAGGTTGCTACATAATGTTTATTTTTTGACAGCTTCTTGGGTGTAAAAGTGTAAAAAGATCACACATACAATCTGTTGAGTTTCTTCTTACCATAAGACCCGTTTCTAAGTTCAATTCCCATATACCACATGGAACTATCTTGCTAAGCCTTGCTGTCCTGCCAATGATGATTATTACCGGTTTTGCGAGAGGGCTGTACTTGTACCATTTACTAAAATAAATGCTCTTGCTGATTTCCCTAGCCTGAAATATTTTAAACAATAGTTACCCCACTTAACACAAGCTCTCTTTTATTTAGGAAAGTTCATTTGAGTACAAAAAGCAAAACGATACAAATACATTTTTGCTAGATTTACACCCGATTCATTATAGCCAATGTTGCAGACTAACACAAAAATGTCATTCGCTGATCAGCTGTTCACCTCAGTAGATGTCACAGCGTGATGGATACTCGTGAATTAAGGTATACTGTAGGTTGTTATTATGACGTGTTCTTAGGTTGTCTTTTTTGGATCATCTATTTTTATATTATGTACGATATTTTTTGGCCGTCTGTCACGATACAAAACTTTGTTCATAATTTGGTACCAAATTTAGTTCCCAATTTGTTTACAACTAACAATCCTATCTGTCATGTTAATAAATTTTTGTAATAAATTTCGTACGAAATCATGCGCAGTCGGTAGAAAAAACTATAACTGTCAACTTCGAATTGCCATTTAGGTATCACGTCAAAGTCATACTAACTGTGAGGGTATGCAACCCTTAGTTAAACTACTCGTATATCTTGTTGCATATCTAGTGGTATGTGTTATGTGCTGCCTTGGAAATGAATAAACAGTGTTAAACGTAAACCCACGTTCAAGTGCCGTATTGTAAGTCGTTCCTACAATAATCTACATATCTGACATGGTCAAATCGGTAAAATTCGCAAAGATAAAACAATATGCAGATGACTCACAAATATATCTCCCTGTCAATAAAACCACAATCCATATTGCACAACAACAACTAAATTCAGATCTCCAAAGAATTGACACATTTGCAAAGCATCACAATCTTAAACTAAACCCCTCAAAATCGCAAGTAATGGTTATGAATAAAAACAGTACTGAAAAAGAACATTTTGAACAAAATTTAGTAATTTCTATTAACAATGACAGAATCCCCATAGCTCAGGAGACAAAAAATCTAGGCATTATATTTGATAGCTCGCTTGGCTTCGGCAGTCATATAAAAAACAGAACAAATTTAGCTTACATGCGACTAAAAAATATAAACAAATTAAAAAAACATTTATCAGCCAAACAAAAATATTATTTGTGTAATACCTTAATTTTATCACTTTTTGACTATGGAGATGTCGTCTATGGTGATTCGCTATCGTCGCGAACCAAAAAATTCATACAAAAAGTTCAAAATAGTTGCATGAGATTTGCATTTGGAATTCCATATCGAAACCATATCACTCCTTATCTGAATAACTACAACATATTAAACATGACGAATCGCAGAAAATATCACATGTATTCTTTTATCTATAGGGTTATAAAAACAGGTCAACCGGCCTATTTAAGAGAAAGATTTGTGCCTTTGCCTAGTGCCCAGAGAAGTAGAAATAATCTCAATTTTATCGTACCTAGGCATAGAACGCGTTCCTTCCGACAATCGTTTGCCTATGTGGCGGTTCACTTATGGAATAATTTACCAACTTCAGTTAAAAGCTCATCGTCAAAAACATTCTCAAAACTGACAAAAACTTTGTTACAGAATCACCAGCTACTTTAGCAGCGTTTGTGTGAGCAAAAATAACGTTTTTACATTACTACTCGCTGACAAGTTGTATACATTTGTTTTTCGCGTCCGTTGCCAGCTCCCGGGGGTTCTCTCTTCGTTTTTGCCTTTTTTGTGTTTCACCGCCCCTTCATTTGCCTCTTTATTGTATTTTTTATTTTGTTTAAGAACTTTTAGGGTATTCAGGGCTTTCTCGCATGGACTCTTTGTATTAAAGGGTCCAATGTATCGGTTTTATAATCGAGAGACTGTCCTTTTTCGTCATTACTCTATATGTAGAATTTCTTTTGTTTATGATGTTTATTCATGACGAAATAAATATTTTGAATTGAATTGAATTGAATTGAATAATTGTAGGACGCCCTTCATAGCCTCCTTGATTTCCATAGTGTTTTCTCTCTTTCAGAAAGGCTGGGGTATTGCAAGTCAGCGTCAACGCTCTCCTATTGTGAGGCTATGTTTTCTGTTTTAGTTGTGGGAAATTTCAGGCTGATATATCAGGTGATATAAATCAAAAGCATGAATAGTTTGATGCAAATAGATGTTTGTAACATAACCTCAATATAGAGCGCTGACACGGAACAGTAGAAAAATATGCAAATCAAGGGGGCCGTAAAGGCGTCCTACAATTGTATGAACGACTGACGATATGGCGCTTAATGAAGATTTGATGAATTACAATTAGAACAATTTATAACATGGCACAGCCAGAGTAAAATTGTGAAATTCAGCACTATTACGTTATCTATCTAAATCCACGAGAGGCTTGGTAAAACAGCTTAAATTCAAAAATGAAGATGGGTGATCATGGAGGCGACTAAGGCAACATGGCGGAAAATTGGAACCTATGGAGGGCCAGGCTTGAGAATTATTTAATTGCATCCGAAGTTAATAAAAAAGACGAGAAAACGCAAGTAGCACAATCACTTCATTATATCGGGAATGAAGGATTCAGAATCTTAACGAGCTTCAAGTTCTAAGATGACGATAAACACAAGCTGGAACCTGTTCTAAATAAATTCCAAGAACATTTTCTGAGAAAAGAAAATTTGGCCTATGGATGATACAAATTCTTTACGTGTCGGCAGGCTGAAGGTCAGACCATTTAAGATTTCGTCGTTACCCTAAAAAACAAGGCTAGTAGGTGCAACAAGAATGCTTAACAGTAACAGTGCTTGCTTACAACGTATAGGTTCCACAGATAGGGTCCGAGGATAGATCCCTGTGGTACTCCGTAGCGTTGGTGGTATATTTTTGTTTTGGCATGCATGAGCACGAACGCGAATGAGGCAAGCCAAGGACGAACCATCTGTCTCGGTTACGGGAAGTTCGGGTTTCTGAATAGTGGATGCACGAGGCGTTGTTCGGCATTGATCCATGTGGTGTGCATTCTTGTATTTCAGTAGCTTAAAATATAGCCGGTTTATATTCTGATAGTGTAGTGCGTATTTTATAATTTTAACCAGAGTATTAAAAAAGAAAAACAATAACGCTGGTCGTCACAAATACAGGGTGTCCGCAAAGTTGGGGTTTTCCTTTTCAGAAACAACTACCCTTGAAATAACAAAGGTAATGTGTAGTGAAAAAAAAATAAAGGAAAAAGTACTCACTCTCCAGTTGACGAGAAGGGCTAAGTACGTCTCTGCCTGAAATCGTACCGCTCCAACAGAAAATGAAATCAGCTGATGCACTACCGAGCAGACGCCGGCGGTGGTGCAGGCCACGAACAGAGGTAACAAATATGACAAATTTGGGAGAATAAATGGTCCAATGAGCATACCGTTCACCATGCCAGCCCAAACATTCACCGAAAATGTTTGTTGAAAATGTGCCCGACGGACAGCGTGCGGATTTTCTACTGACCAAACATGAGTGTTGCGAAAGTTATTCACCCCATTACGCGTGAACGTAGATTCGTCTGTCACCAATATGCACTTCAACAAGTCCGGATTATTGTCATGTTGATGCAACAACCACTCACAAAACCGCACTCTTGCTGGAAAATCGACAGGTTGAAGGGCTTATACACGTTGGACGTGAAACGGATACAGCCCCTCTTCACGCAGCATTTGCCACACTTTAGTTTTTGATACTTGCACGTCTCTAGCCACGTCTCTAGTGCTTGTTGTTTTTTGAAACGCAATCGATTATACGGGTTCGTTTAACTCTACACGCGTGACCGTAACCGTCGGTTGAAGCTTGCATACTGACCTGACACACTGACCCCGACCCACTTGTACCAGTCGGTGATATCGCGAGTCGCGGCTACAGGACGGTATTCAGATATTTTTGATGTTGCAGAGCCCTTTATCTTGGTTCCCTTAAGACATTGGTGTATATGGTACTAAGAAAAATTGCTTATGTTTTCAAGATCTACACGTCGTGTAAAGGAAAACCCCAACTTTGCGGACACCCTGTATATCTTAATAGTAGAAGACAATTGAATGAAAATAGCACAGGTTTGTTAAAAGATCTCTTGGCCGATGAAACTAAAGGGTTTTTCAAAAATTTTACCAAGATAATAATAATAATAATAATTAACGTCTTTTATTTGTAATATTCTTACATGAGGCGAGATTTAGATTATATATCTATTCTACCATCTAACCCCCAAGAATATTTGTTTTTACTATTAAATTGTATCATACCAAGGGTAGAACGACAAGACATATCCTTTAGAAAAACTAAAGCAGCTGAAGAAAGACTATCATTAACTATTCGGTTTCTTGCTAAAAGGAAGCAATAGTATTTGATGACAATAATCTTTTTCCTTGCACTACTAGTAACTACACAGTAGACCACCTTGACTTGAAATGTTTATTTCCGTCCAGACTGAGCACTCACCGAACATGTGCCTCACTGATGTACCGCGAAGAAACAGATAGGTACGGGTATTATGTAAAAAATCTATAAAACGTCAAAAAAACCTATAAAATGTCATCTTGCAGTCTAGGTACTTCTTCGGGTGCAAACAGTCATTCCACGTTTGCTCACTGGGATCGTTGTGAGCGTCCATCTATGGAGGGATGACTCAACTACACGCATTGATGGTTGCATATGTTTTGTGAAGCCGAGTAGTCTATAGTTTTCATCTCTGAGAAGAAAGTTGGTTGAATAGCAGGATCGCATATGGATGATTGTGTGTATTGGACTGGCATGTGTATAAAATTGGCGAGAGAAAATCATTACTCCATATGCTGCCAATGAAGTATATCTATTAGCTGTGTCCGACGGGCTATTTAAACATATGTTGTCCTTCTGAAGGCAGGTTATGTTCAAAGTTATAAATTACGATTTTTTACGTTTTTGTGTTTTCAAAAACTTTGAGAATTAAGGGAAATCACCACCGCGCCCGCGTTGTGTGTAATTACTGTTAAATAAAAAAAAATTAAAAAAATTTGTTTACCTTGTTTTATAAAGTATCCTCCCGACAAGTATTTCAGTGCGGA